ATAATACTTTATTAAACATGAGTACCGCGGGGCGGAACAAACTACGCCCGTCGAATGCCATATAGTGTTATATACTTTCTTACATTGAAATAAGATCTGCATCATTCTAAGAGTGGCTAGCTGATATGCTATAAAAATATAGGAGAAAATCTTCTGACAAAAAATCAAATACTGAAATGAACAAAGGGCAATAACTTTTGGAAAATTTGTCAAATCAAAATTCTTTTAGGGGAGACACCACTTCATATCATGATTATAATGTATACCAAGTTTCAAAGAGATCGGTCGAAAAATGTAGGAGGAGATCTCCGGACAAATTTGACGGTCGTATAAAAATGAAGTTCGTGGGAGTTTCTTTCCAAATAACGTTTCTTGCTTGTTTTCTGGAGCAATATCACAAACACCGAGTCTGCTTCAGGCTTCGATTCATCAATTGTATCCATGTATATAGTTTCATAGAATCAGTTCAAATCCAGAAATAACAAACCCCTTAACATGTCAACACTCGAATTTCTAGCACATCAGGGAAAGCTTTATTACATTGCGTTACTTGGAGGCTTAAGCAAATTCATTCTTTTCCTGCAATGATTAATGTGGAACGAGAGAATGAGAGTTGCAGTTGGTATATGAACCATAAATGTGTTGTGGAGGAAAGTCTATGTAAAGCATTGAACCAGTTTTAATGAAATTCATACTTCAAACGAAGGTCAGTTGAAAGAAATGCTTGTGTTAACATATTTTATATTTCTATTATAAAACAATGTAATGTATTGTGATAATTTTGCACGAAGAGAGCTCGCAAAACACGGTTTATGCTAATATCCCCCTAAAATGCAACTGTCGGCACAATTAGACTCCTTAGGTTAATACTACGCCAAGCCCATACATATGTAAATGCAATTGCATGTTTGACATCAAAGTTCTGATTAAGTGGGGCAAAAGAATACGAATTTGTTATCGACCAAACCAGAAGGAATGTATTGGATTTTACATTTACACTGCAATGTGTGTTCCAATGCGCTGGCATGCCGTATAACCGGAGAAAACTCCCAGTTGTAACATTTGTATCAAGGCACAGGCCATGTATAGCTCACCGATAGTATTTGCCTTAAGCTAAGGCTGAATGTTTGGGTTATGATTCAGAACACTTTTAATACCAGATTATTAGGTTAAGTTTTTTAAATGTATCTGTAATATCAACATTTACAGTAACATTTTTGTTCCGAAATAGCGTCGAGTAAAAGAATAATACAAGTCCATTTAACAGTTTATCTACTGTTTCTTATGATGAAATTTCGAATTTTGTTTTCATCGATGTTGACTAGAAATCAAATTAAAAAGCATAGATTTTACTAACGCCAGGTCTTTCATTCAATTATCTACATATCAAAACATGTCATGACATCCGTCATGTCTTTGACCTTTGTTTCTTTCTTTATGAAACAATCACAAACTTCACTCATCAAACCACATATAATATATCTTTAATCGGTTATTCATTGATGACCATCCTCAATATTTCATTCTGAAGTCAAATCTTTGGTTGACAAAATGCAATGAGGTCAGTGTGATCCAAAGATCTGCGTTTCACGCATAAAACAAACAAGTCTGAAAAACATTTGTTTTTAAGGAATAGAAAGAATATGTCAATAGGTTCCTTTACTCACTTGATGGATAGTGGAACAACCCTATACGTGGTGGCTGCATATAAGGGCAGCGGTGGTTGTAATATGACTCAGGCATGGCCTGGAGAGAGCGAGGCTCGTACTGTACATTTGTGTCAGTAGTATAGTATAATTATTGAATCAATACATTACCCATTTTAATACATACAAAATGTACCTGTACTTGTTTTTTTTATAATATACTTGAATCTGTTACTGGACAAAATAATTCACCCTTGAACTTATGTGTGCTCTGTTTTAGAGTGATCCACATTAACACCACACTAATATGACGCATCACATGTTAGTTTGAAGTTGACTGGTTTGTAGTATACGGTACTACTATATAGCTAGACTATATTGATAGTAATAATATCCTCATTTGGTTCTTGTTTATCCAAGAATAACATAATAATATGTATTATTATTTTTATCCAAAAAAACCAAATGCCATTTGAAAAGAATCATAGAGTAAAAATGATAAAATGTTTAAACAAATGGTTTGAGCTGATATGCCAATCCATGAAGGATGTATCTGTTTTTTAATTAAATATGTTTAGCATGTTAGACACAGCAGGTTAGAGACTGTCACGTCTACCACCACTATAAGTATAAAAAGAAGATTTTAGATTTTTCTTTTAAATAATTTAGATAATCCACGTGAAATGATGAAATTTAATGTTTGTACTGATTATATACCTTAGAAATTCCAGGTATCTACATCAGGAGATTCCTCCTCTTCATCGTCGCTGTTGTCATAACGTTTTTGTAGATACATAGAGATAGATTGGCATATCGGCTAAAACCATTTGTTTGCAAGTGAAGTTTCTAGATGGACACCATCGTATAACTTTGTGAAATCAAACTTTGAGTGACTTTTTTTTTGCGATTTTGATCATGTTTTCCTCGATGTTTGATTGATACCCTTATTATGTCATTGTCAAATTTGAGGGTCAAATATTGTATGTTGAGTTTGTTCAGTGACGATTGTGTTAACTTGATAGAATTGATGTCAGTTTCATGATGGACTTGTGATTCTTGAGTCAATATTAGTGTAAAATATGGTTGAATAAAAACAATTGCCATCATCAGTTACATCATATGCGGAGTAGTTTTGATTTTGATTAGAAATGGTTGCTGACGGTCGCATATTGTGCAATCTGTTAACAAAAATAAAATGATGATTTACACAGATTAACGAAAGTACGTGTACAAATTGCCTAGCGTTTAAAGTTTATATTTATCTAAGTACCAATCAAGATATTTTACTGTACAAAACTATACAGATAATGTTTGTCTTTTTTAAGTAATTGTTAATTTTGTTGCATTAGATGAAACTAGATTCAATCTATTGTACAAGCAGATCTAGCATTGAAATTCCACAGTTTTTAGTTGTAAAAGCTAAAGGTAATATCACAAATTGGGATAAAATTTCAACAGAAACGACCCCAAATGGAAGAATTTAGAAGAACTTATTATAAAGTTGACGTTCTGCAGTGAATGCAAATACAAGAGTAGTGATACTGAAAAATCCACAATTTGACCCCTTTGAAACACCTTACGTTTTCCCTTCGAAAGCTGTCGGTGACAATTCTGTTTCATCATGTGTATCTGTGTATAACTGGAGCAGACGACCCGTGAACTTTGACCTCGTCAATGATCTGACCTTTTAATATCCAATGAAAACCAAGCGACCTCGTCATTGACCCTGCTTCGTACATACTCGGGTATTTCCGTCCTAGTGGGAATGATCCTCGTGTGTTTCGATCGATTATTAATATTAAGATGGAAAATGTGTATGTTTAGAAAGTTGTTAGTATCAAACTATCTATTTCTTTCCTAAATTTAAGCTAATTTAATCGACGGTAATACAGTTTGTCAACTAATCACATTATTACGCACCCTTCGACGCCATTTGCTTGTGCATCCATGTAAGCTTTTTGATGACCATGCCAATCATTTCTCTTTTTGATACAAAAGGAAAGAAATCGCGAAAATAAACACATCCAGTGTATTGAATATGGTAAATATTTTTTTGAAAAATTCGTTGTTTCGAATACATTTTTCCTGCTACGTTACATGTCGCTCTATTATTCGATTAGGCATATTTACGGGCTCCATGAACCGGAAGTACGAAAAGTTTCTAGGCTGTAGCTGTACGATTCAGTGATGGAATCGATTTACACGCACATGTTACCGGTAATGAGCTTCGCTCTTATTAACAAGGTATGAATTTGAGATGTGCAAACTCGTTGTCAGCAAGTTAAATCGATTTTTTTTTCCACAAATACTTTTGTTTACAACTATGTTGTTTCAAAAGCTGAATTATTGATACAGTAGCTAGTTTCAAACATTTTAGCGAGCATGATAGAAGTTTGAGAAGTTGTTTCCACTATTTCAATAGTACATTAGAAATATATATAATAAGTAAACAGTAAATAGTTCACGTTTTCTGATGGTTGTTATCTGAATAATGTTTTCACTCTAGTCCATCAACGCAATACATGTCGTGTAAATTAACACTGGATACCCGATTTTGAAGGGGGGAAAATACGAACCTTACACTGAAATTATTATTGAATCAATGTATTGACTCCTTTAGATCTATTGTCGTTCATTTTTTTTTAAATCATCTTTGAAATTATTTAAAGGTGAGTTAAAACATGTTAATGTTTCTTTTAAGTTATTTTCTGCCTGGGATTATTCCTACAAAAACAAACATTGAACATTTTTTAGTATTCCATTTTTTTCAATTTTATGAGTCAAAAATATAAAATTTGTTCTCATCAATGAAGTGGGACTAGGAATGGTAACAGCAGCTGCAGGCACCACCTGACAATTTGTTACAATTGACCTCCATCTGGTTTTCATCGACTTAATGACACAATCAATCCATCGCTTATTTAACTACAGACATTGGAGTACTCCGGGGATAACTGGTCCATCTACAACAAATTTAATGACTGAAGATCTACTGACATTAAATACACCAAACCTCACACATCATTGTCATTCTCCGAGGCTGGATTTCTTCTCAATTTCCGTTTCTGAAATGATGCCTAAGTCATTTCGACGTGTGTTCTATACGTTTCATGTCAATGCGGTATGTGGCGCGGATCGGTGGGTGTATGAATATAAGAGCTCCATACTTTATATCTATCGGCCCCCGGAGAGACCGGCGTTGGAGAAGCAATAACTTTGAATAAGATGCTTTCTCATACATATACCATACATGTTAGCGGTTGATGTAAGTTTCGATCCATCGCTCTGCTAAATCTAGCTGTCATCAAGGCGCGATGTTATATTGTCCATATGGCCAAAAGTATTCATGATGACGCAATTTATATCATCTAGTACAACGTCGAACTGTGTTTTAAGCCAGTAACGACAATTTTATTGCAAGAAATGGCCTAACTGTTTGGTAAAGTTAAACACTAAATGCAGTTTGTTTGAAGCATATGACAAAATAAACGGTATCTCTCTCACGAATTTATTTCACATTGACACGGTTAACGACTGACAAGTCAATATCTATTATTAATAAAAGTGATGAGTTGGACGTCTTGAAATCATATTAAGATATGTTATTTTTCTTTTCATAAATGTGACAAAGCATACATCTCTAACAATATCAATCTATATATATCTTTATATATATATCTAAAACAAATTCACTACAACTTGGCACAAAGACTTAACTACGTGACAACGAAAAGAATAGACTTTAAAGACTTCTAATATAACAAATAATCTTCTAAATAACGTAACTCCTCTCAGAATCCTTTCGGTGTGTGGTTACTCACAACTCAAACAAAATATCCACATCAATAAACATAATAACCTACTAGAAACTCTCATTCAGAAATACTATTCATTCCGAATTTTGATTCGGAATATCTATTTCAAGTACACAACAGGAATGAAGTTCTTATCGACTACTTATGGCTGGCGGACACACTGCATTGGCACAACACGGAATGACGACGTATAGCTATTGCACTGGAATGGAACAAGAGAATGGGCGTCCATCTAGGTCTGTATTGGGCGATAAGTTTTCTGGCAATTTCATGTAGCGCCTAATTTGGAATACAATGGACAAAATAGCAATGTTAGACTTTTCGCAAGATGGAAACGATCACATGGGTAATGTCAATATCCTTTTCTCTTAACCATAGCAAAATGTGTTAGTTGGAGATCAGACCTTTTCTTGTCACCTCGTTCAAGCGTTCCAGTGACGCAGTACCCGAGTTGGAAATCGGCGTTACTTATATTCGTCGTCAACGTCATCTTAAAATCAGGAGATACAGTGTCTTTGAATTTCCCCGTTATGGTCATGGCGCCACTGCCCTTGTCTGCCATTTTGCCTTTGGTGGTACGTTTTTTGACCCCTGAGACCTCAACAATCTTACAGCGTGATCTGCTCCACCAATAGGTTTTTAGAAGCCAGTAGGATACGAGAGCTGGCTGGGCCCAACCCTCGTACGGAAACAACATCACCTTGGTAGGGTAACCCTCATAGTTAAACACCTTGCGGCAACATTTGCCCCGAGTCTCATAATAAAACAGCTGCACCATGCTTACCACGCCCCCTAATGGATGATAACGTGTACAGGCACTGTAGTTTACAGCGCCCTCTAGGTAACGTTAATTTCTTCCCAACAAGCAACAGTCGTCGTCCATTCAGTTAATTTACATGATGATTCTGGAAGATATAAAGAGAGAAAACACATTTGATAAATTGTCTATCCAATGATATAGTGATGGCGAGTGATTACTGTCATATTATACGACACTAGGGGATAAAATGTACTGATATGAACGTCATACAATCACTCAGAATCCACTTCCGGGCATAAAATCAGGGAAATCCATCTTGAAGTATGGGCACGTGATTAATTGGTATAGACATGACCGACGACGTTCCTTGTAGGCGGATCAAGGCGTCAGTTTGCTGGGTCGCTTCATATCTATGTATAGCGGGGATATATCGAGAAAAGGAAATGTCAGCGAAGCTAATTTTAAATTAATGTTAGCGGGGATATAGGAACACATCTCCACGATCCGTTCATGATATGACATACGATAAATATCGATCGCTATAAGGTTACAAAGCGACCAGAAGGAAAGCACGGGGCCGTGCATCCTGAGAATGTGTCTACCAGAATCGCAGGTCAAGATTTTCCGATTCATTTGTGATTGTAAACTGAATATAACGTTAAACATCGTTTTAAAGTTGATTTTTGTTTCTACAAGAAATAAATACACAAAAGTTTACCGGTAGAAAATAATAATTCCATAATGCCATTAGGATTAAAGATAAAATAGTCATATCATAGATAAATCTAACTTAACAATCGTTTAGCATTTAAAATTATCAACCGTAAACATTTAATATACCAAAGCTGAATTCTATGAAATGCAAAAGAAATAGGTGTAGCACAAGATATCGCTTGTTTTTAAAGTAAACTAAGGCAACATGAGGTATATGTATAATTATTTGCGCAGTGATCTTTTTGCGCAACGACGACACTTATGTGACTCACTATCACAATGCAGTGCCTTCAAATTAAGTTAAAAGCATTCAAATATTATAACATGTTAAATAGGAATATTTATATAATTGAAATAAGAAAGAAATGTTTTTTTTTATATAGATAAATCATTTTCATACAGGAATGGTCTACATATGATCTCAGAGTTTGATTTGGTGAACATTTATCTCAAGGAGGTCATTGTATGTTAAGATTCTTCACTGATATTTCCATCCTAAACGTCTTAATAAACAGGAGGTCGATCATTCGTCATATATATCCATGTACAACAGATTTGCTAATAGTCTCGTTCATCAGGTATCCAGCCTGCTCGACGTTGTCCTATGGAGACAATGTTACGGTGGTTTAACAAGTCACAGGGCGTATAAAGTATGGAAGGCGAACAAAACAATATCATATGTAAACACCCTACGTATATACATTTGTAATTCCGAGCACAATTTGGAATTCCCGATCTTTATAAACATATCATGATATATAAGTAAGTTATAGCATGAATAGATTGAGGTCATTTTCCCATGAAAAACCGTGACCAACCTCGTTTTGATTCTGGATGTATTTAGTTCACGGGAAATTGATCGTTATACCAGAGAAGAACAGTTCCGGTCAGCTTTGTTTTTCCTGTTTGTACCCGATTTGGATCAATCAAAGAGGAATAACAACTGAAAGAAACTGGTAATGTACTCACGTCTTACATTGTTAAGACTCAATTAGAGTTAATGTAGTATGAATTCAATAAATGTGAGATTGCATGTGTTCTGTTGGTGCCGAGAGATCACAGGTGTCGAATGTACCAGGCAAATAACATAAATAGGATTACTATCTAAAGTAAGTTCTGTGTATAGGGAACCTCATTAACCCAGTGTAACTTACATACACATCAATAATGGCGTCTTAACGCTCAGTAAAAATTACAAATCGTATTCATCCACCAGTGAAAACCAGTGAGTAGGTATTATTTTAAGTACCCTTTTTGTCGTTAATGAACACATTTAAATATACTAATGTGTCCCGAACTGTTAGAGCAAACAACTTGTACACATAATTATATTTTACAAAATACAAATTTAATGCATTTATCACGGTTGTATGTTTTTTTGGGAAAAGGAAATGAATCAGAAAGAGATATGTTTTTCTTCTGGCAACATGAAACACAAATCAAAACGTTTCTCCCTCATGGGGTTTCGTATAGTTTGTATTTTTCGATTTGATGGTAACCTCATAAAAAGACCAGTCATTGTTGCGTGACTGTCTGTAGGCTGACGTCAGAGGAGTCTGGCATGAGTGCAACCGATCGGAGGTTTTTAAACGAACGACATTCAATTGCCAATTACAAAACAAAATACGACTCAATAGATTGTATTGTTCTTGATTTCAAGCTCAAGTCATTAAAACAACACTTCACCAATATATCTGAAAGTCAATTAATTGGAGATTGAACGTTGGACTTTAATGAAAAAATAAAATGCAATGCATGTGCTGTGCGATTTTCTTGGGAGTCTGGTACGTATTCAACCAATCAGGCAGCCATTAAACCAGTCAGTCGGCATTTAGCTTGGCTTGTACATCTAACTCTCAATATCCAATTCAACCATTCGTATAGCGAAACTACCATCAATACGTAAGAAACGACAGGTTCAGACATCAATGAATGTCAATTAGATATTAATATCAAGATGCAATATAATTATGTAACTGTCTAAATATATATAGAATATATAGTAAAACTTTATTTATCACAACATATTTTCATCAAATAACCTCTATTGTGGCGATCTTTATTTTCTCAAATTCGAGAACAACAGCTCTTCAGAGTGCTTACAAACCTAGCTTATCGCAATGATAAATCAGGGCTTCCATAGGTTTAGAAAATAGAAAAAAACATAAATAATATATAACAAATATAGTCCCGTTTTATTCATTCGAGCGTTCATTATTATGCTTGTCTAGACGTTGTTTAATATGTAATGTTATCTTATTAAATATTTACATCGTATACATGTGGATTCGCTTGATACGGTTAGGAAAAGCCTACGTGCACCAGCATTTTGAAAAAGTGACAGTATGGGATTACCAGTGACCGGTGAAAACTAAAGATATGTCGAGAGATTTGATTGTACACAACACTATATAATGTGACATTGCAATCAATCATTGTTCATTTCCATTAAAAATGTAATATTTTAAATATTCACTTTACTGCATTGAAGATGCCATTTATTTCCCAACATGGTTCACCCGTTGTCAGTATAATGTGACCGAGCGGAATGCAGTGCTGGGTACCTTCGTTATGGCATTTCAGAGAGATAGCAATATAAAGTCGGCATCAGATTCGCGCTATCAAAAGGAGGCAACCACTCCAACGTAACCTGTCTCCTGCATACATACACGCAGGCACACATACACTACACCAAGGAGGCACGTCCTTAAATGACCTTAGCTGTCAAAAGGACGTTAAACAAAATTAAACCAAACCATGTACAGGTAGACATATAACTAATGTACTTCTCATCCTCTTTTTGTACTACATGTGTATACGGAACAGATCTTTTATCACTACGGAGGATAAACAGCATCGGAATATCTTTAGTAAGTATGCCAGTAATCAATTTACAGAAGCATTGTTTATGATTTGCTTTATTTGAATTCGAGCAATAACGCAAATCAGCAGAGTAACAATGATCTGTGATATATGTTTACGTAAAAGTGGTACATGTGTCTGGAAGAATGATGCAGGCAATATTAACAAGGTCAATGTGTACTGTTACAACAAAACTACTTACTGCTTAGGGTTCGGAGACATTAAAATGTTTCGTGACATGCCTGTTTCAAATCTCTAGACAGGTACGTGATTGGGGCTCCTCAATTATCGTGCGTTGGACAATCACCTCCTTAGATTGGCACTTAATGAGTGCGAATACATTGTGCAACAGCAGATGGAGATTTCCATAGAGTTAATGACCATATTTGTAAGAAATCAGGATCCGTTTCATCTCCATCTCTACTAAAAGATTTATTGCATGCTATCAAACTGTTAGCGAGGCAAAATCAACTTAAGTTTATTGCAACTTCATTTTCACCGTCAGCCAATCGTGCTCTCTCATATTTATTTGTGCACGTCACTATTTAATATCGTTCGAAGTAAGATCAAAGATTCATTTCTTAGTGCAACTGTAGCTGTAGATCTTAAATGCCCAAAGGAGCTTAGTTATAAGAGAAGGCAGGTAATCCAAGCATTGCTCACTAAGTATTGATTCTCGGTGTTTAATGAAAATGAATACCCTGAAAAGTCGGTGATTAGTTCCGGGGAGAAGACACACATGCAACTCTGCATGATGGAGCTCGGGAGCTGACAGTAAAACATCCAAGTAATCTGTGCTATAATGTTCCATGGGAAATTTTCTGCATCGCATGAAATTGCTCATCCTCCCAAATCTCTGATTACTTTGCAATCCGATCGTGTTCAGAAGGAGTTATTGGAGAGGTACTTATCCACTTAATGCTAATAAATCGGCTGGAGTAATTGTGTGGCAGAAAAACAACATCGGTCGTTATCTTGTGTAAAACCCCTGCATGTTACGGAAACAACAAGCGGCTTACAAGGGTGATAATTAACCCCAACTGCCCTTGTCATTTCAACAAGTGTAAGTGGTGAGAAGGGCTTCAGATCAAAGATTGGTCTCTTTGTATGGGAAATTATATACAGAATTAGGGTAATAGGTATTATTACAATTTCCATATAAATTGTGCTGACCTGTAATTCGATAGCATTTGTGATCTTCGGGGATTTTTTTGTTCGGCCAGGCAGACTAAAGACTGTTTGGACTGGCCAGATATAAACATCGATCGGACTTAGTGGCTAGTTGTGTGTGTACATTGCACGAACATTTGTATTTCAGTCAATATGATTGCAAACTGGACAATAGTAAGTTCTATAAAATACACTAGAGTTTGCCAGTAATACAATCAAAACGCAAACGGCATGTAACGAAGGTATGGACCGGTGTTAACTGCCAGCAACAGTAACAAAACGAACACTTTCGGCTACGTTGATTCGATATGATTAAATGACAAACTTATATAAGATTCCGAGACTTGCTCAAAGCATGCTTCCAAATGACAAAATATGTGTCCAATAAAAGACAGTTAAAATA